GCCCAAGCTGAACACATGAATCCAACTCTGTCTTCTCCCTCTAATTGAATTTCTTAATTTTTCATGACTTGTTGGAATGTTGTTGGTAATCCTTTCCTGCTTAATTTTCCTTTCAATTTGGGTGCTTGAAGGACTTACCCAGCTGTGTTTAGCATTTTTGTTCTTGTAGCTTTCAGAGGCCTGGTGGGCACAGAAGACAGCTGGAAGGGGCTGCAGATGGAGTGGAGGAAGAGGCTTAACACATGGTGCAGGGCTCAGAGCAACAAGTGCTTCTGAGGGAGCACTGCCACAGTGTCAAAGCTGTGCTTGGAGGTTGAATGTTGCTAATTGAAACTGGTCTCTCTGATTCTCAAATGCTCAATGCACTTCTAACACAAACTGTTTCAGCTTAGGAAAGTGTAGCTGTGCATTGCCTTGAGAATCCCTTTTCCTTACTAGGGTGAAGCCACCATATTTCAACTCTTCATGCATGCAAGATGTGGACAAAACCTTCAAAGTGAAGTGAGGCAGACCAAATCTTTTGAAATACATGCTCCTTTCGTCACAACACGTTAACAGTGGTAACTTATAACCATGTTTACTTCCACACATTTAATTCAACTGTAATTATCCCACAGACTAGGAGAATATGCCAATAAATGTTAAAATTCAAATCTGCAGGAAGTGAGTCATCTTAAGTAATGAGAAATGACTCCTGAAGTCCATTAGGGCTATCTATCATTGCATCGCTTCCATGCTGCCTCGCTGAATCATTCCCATGGACATTGCCAGCTCCAGGGATGATCATCAGGACTGAGCTGAGAAGCTTTCTTTCTGGTTTTAAAAGTCTAAATGGTCTTAACTCTTCCTGTCCTCGACCTGACGACATGGCTGACTGCATCTGAATTAGACATTCTGGTGAGAACCACTGTTGTACTCAGACTGTGCCAGTGGTGTCTTGGGGCTTCTGGACCTTTTTAGTTTGATCACATGAACATTAGTGTTACTCCAAGTTTCTCTCTCCTCAGTTTTCTCCAAGATACTGCTCTGTATGAACGCTCTGGTTTTGTCAGTCCCCAGTCTCCTGCTGCTGATTGTTTTAAACTGCAGTCACCTCTCTGCTTAAACAAATACTAACAACATTACTACTTGTTTCTGAAATTAATAGCTTTACACTTTTCTCTGCTTCCTAACCTGTGATTCCCAATCATGAAATGACATAAAATGCGTTGCTTCTTATCAGTTGCACTACTTCCCATCTTTACATCTAAACCGAGCCCTACCATTGCTGAGACTTCCCTGCTGAAACGCCTTCTCTCGTGATTACCGTGACATGGTCATGTTGCATTTCTATAAGGATGCCAACATCTTTACCTAACAGGTTCAGTTAAGCTTGAGTGGCCTGGGCACAGATCAACCCATGCACAGTCTCACATGCAATTCGTGTGTTAGAACTGATTTACACTTGCCAACCATTATAGCTTCTCCATCATTTCAAAATGAAAGCTCACAAAAGTCTCCTGCTGTCCGTAACTTCAGGGCAAGGTTTGCTGCATTCCTTTATTTTGTCCATTCACCACTGACAACATGGGCCCAACTCCTGCCCACAGTGAGACCCCTTCAATTGGACAGTCAATGTACAGATATAACTGATGAGTTTGCAGCCTGAGTGGTTCCTTTGGTTCCTTTTACTGACAGAGTGAGGTAAAAGAGCATTAACCTAAAAGAAAATCTGGCTACTTGCATTAAGTTCTTACACTTCTCAGACTTTGCCAGATATTTCTCTCACATGGCAATTAAATAATCTTACTCTGATAATTTCCATAGAAAGTTAAATAACTAATTCAATGTTGTAATAATTATCTAATGATAAAATACCTTCTGTCTTTCCATATAAAAATTGTTGAACAAAATTGGATTTTCTTTGCATATTGATCAATATACAAGTAGTTTCACTGTTTTCTATCCACTGTTCTTTCTGCATCTGCTGAGAACTGCTCCCTCAGGAAGCTGAAAGGCCAGGTTCTAACTTCGCATCTTTACCTTAAACTGCAGGAAACACCTTTTTTAAACGTATGTGTTTTCTTCCAGGAATAGGTCAATCTTCTTTCTGCACAGCACCATAAGAGTCCTGCCCTGAAGGCACCCAAGGACAGCTGAACGGACAGGTGCTATCTCCCAACCACCATAAAATTTTCTTCTACCCTCGATTTGTATAGTCCTGCTGCCACCACATGGAAATGACCAGTTCTCTGCCAATCTGTCCTGATGACTTTGATAGCTTGATAATGCATACCAAACCCAGAAGCAACTGTCTAAAGCAATGTATTGGTAGATAGTAACACAGAATCATAGAAGCATAGAATAGTTTGGGTTGGAAGGGACTTTCAAAAATCATCTAGTCAAAATCCCCTGCAATGATGAGGGGCATCTTCAACTAGATCATGTTGCCCAGAACCACATTTTGTGCAAACTACCCTGTAAACAATGTATATTTGACAATTTTTCACTAAATATTTAAGAGCATTTACCTTTGAAATGGTGTTATGGTACACCGTGGAGTTTGTCTGAAGTGCTGGCACTGCTGCTTCTTAAACCTGATCCTACATTGAATTTAGACCCATGCTGGATGTCCAAGCTGCCCAGTCACACTGATTTGTGGAAGAGCAGTTGCTAAGAATTTTGATAGGCTGTGAACCTGCTACAGCTAAGTCACAGAAAAGAAAATAAACCAAAACCATGCAGGCAAACTATGCAACAGCATTAGAGTCAGCTTTGGATGTGTATGTGGGAAAGGTGGATATGGTCATCTGAATTTTCCACCATAGCGACAGCTGCTAAATGAATGAAAGCAGCAAAGCGGGGGGGCAGGAGGGGGGGCAGAAAGGGAGGAAGGAAAACATTTCTCAAATTGTAAGTTAAATGCTCAGAAGAGCTGAAGAGTTGCTGTGTATAAATGTCTCAGAGATCTGTTTAAAGGGGCTTGAAAGGCTCAATCCTTGAAACTGTGAATGTTGACTACTTTGCTTCTGCTGTAACTGTACTGCTGTTCTTTGACAATTAAAACTATGCATTTAGGCCAAATTTACTTACTAAAAAATGTTATCACTCACTGCCATCTAGTGTTAACGGTACAGATTGTTAGGAATTTCAAATTACTTTTCTGCCATTAAAATAAATAAAAAAAAAAAAGTCCAACTTTTTCAAGCTCAGCCTTACCCCAAGAACCTGGACATGCTTATTTCCATTGACAGAGGGAGCTGCAGATGCACAGTAGCTCAGAATGTCGGACCAGTTTATTCACAGGAACAGATCTGAGGTTAGAGGCTACAGTGCAATTTCAATGACTACAGTTACCTTCAATTTTACTTTTTTGATTCTGACTCTGCTTGCTGGTTCTCTCCCTATCTCGCTGGGTCACACCAGGCTTAGCACTGAAGCTGAACCTACAGCTTCTCCTCCTTCAGCCCGCGGGGCACACAGACTGCACTTCATCAAGAGAAAACTGGAAACGCTGTTATGCTCCACTATCTGTGCAATGCATTTCTTTCCACCTGGGTATGTGAGAGTGGTGGTACACACCGGACCTCAACAGCACATGTGATCCATCCAGACTTCAGGATGGGACCTCTGGGGCACCCAGGAGCATATCTGTGGGCACAGTCATGCAGTGGTGCGTATGTCCATGCCTCCAGTTTGCCATTTGAATGGAGTAGCCAAGTGCTTATTTTCTGCCTCAAACTTACTTAACTAAATGATTACAGTCACACTTAAATGCAAAATGCCTATATAGATTCTGCGAGGCAAACCCAGAACAGAACTCTAGTTTTAATGGCAAACATCTTCAGTTACAACTGGTGTGGATTTACACTGCAGGATTCAAGGGTAACAATGAATCTGGCTAGTGAAGAGAAAGAAACTCCAAACATTCCACCACTTGATATTAAGCAACTGTTCGCCTTAGTAAGTGTAGTAGAATAGGCAAAACCAGTGATAACTTCCTCCTTTCTCTACTTTACCAGACAAGGATTTAGCCTCAAAGCTGGGATAAAACAGTGGGGTTAGAAAGCATTTTTCTTACTGAACAGCATTGCCATCCACAGTAATTTTAAGGCACAAGTCTCACTAATACACAGTGCATCTTCCTGTGTTTTCTGAAGGTCAGACAAGTTCTGTACAATGTCAATTACCTTCTGGTGGCTACCTTTTAAATAAATAGGAATCATAATTGTTCTTTACATGAAGAATTAATGTATATTAAGTTCTTAAAAAGAATGTCTGAATTCAAAAGCAGACCACAGATTGTTACAACCATGTACAGTCATAACTAGTTTATTAGCACTGGGTTTGAAACAATCATACTCAGGTACTTAAACACAATTTAATTCATATTTATTTGATATATTACTGTATATTACATAATGGACCGAATATCCAGTAAATAAATAATAAAACCAAAGTGCAGATTAAAGTAGCAAGGTCAGTTTTAGGCTATAAGGAAAGCCAAAATTACACTAGCAGTATAACGTCAGCAAGTTATAAATGACTAATATTTAACATGTCATCGTATCACTGCTGTATGCATGCTAGCATAAATGATCCCTCTGAGAACTGCATATAGGTATCTACAGAAGAAGACTGTCCTTCCCTGCTATGACAATTCCATGACCCTTTTATTTCATACCTTTCAGGCCTGATCCTGCAGTCCTTACTCAGCAAAACTTCCAATGCAATCTGTCAGGTTAGTTTCTTACTTGTTTCTTACTTTTTTTTCTTTAAGCTACATAAAGCCCATTGGATTTCCCAAAACATCTGAATAGTAAATGATTAAAGTTTAAATTTCTAAAAATTTGGAAATTCTATAAAATATTCATAACAGAAAATACTGTAATTAAGTACAGACCTAAGAGTATTAGGACTAAATCCAGGAACAGATCTAGGTAGAAGCTTTGGGAACTGTGAGGACAGCAAGGTTAGCATCTGCTGAGTTAGGCACTTTCCTGATTAGCCAGCCACTTTTAGGATCACGGTTTTGGATGTAGACATCTTAAGTCTCCTTAAATACTGTTTTGAGCACCTGCATCCTTTTTTTGGATCTGGCCTTTTTTTTATATTTGAATACATGATGTATCACATTAACATTATGCACAGACAATAAGAGAAAAAAAGTGATCATAAAGTAAACCAAAATGATAATACAATATGTTATCACAGCCATGTCTAGAAGAAGCTATTGTTCTTTTCTGTGCTTGGGTTGGGCACATTTGTTTTAACAGCTTTTAACACTGTATCCCATTTACTATTCTTGTGCTCTAACTGCCTTTTCCTAAACTTGTGCTGAAACAAATCATTGCTGTCTTCATCCTCCGCCTCTGACACTATCTCCATTTTTTGGATAATCAATTTAATGAGGTCATGTTGCTTTTCCAACAGTGTTGATATATCTTTGAGCCTAAAAAAAAAAAAATAAAATAAAAGAGAAAAGAAAAGGAAAAAAATATGCATACAGCATAAAACAGGCTGTGTCATTTGGTACCAAAAGACATTTAAGTCATCAAAATTACTGATGCAAAAGACTTGCTAAATTCCATGGTTTGCCTACATCTGTAAGGTGTATTCTCACCCCCCTTCAATTCTTGTTGAGTTCTTCATCCAAAAAAATACTTAATCAGAGTCTGTGCAGGGAGACAAAAATTTAATAGATTAAAGGAAAAAAGGAGGGGGGGATAAAAAGAGAGAGAGAAAAAGAGCAGGGAAGAATGAGACAGAGTGAGAAAGAATAGATTTCCCCAGCTTGTCTGAAGTAATTTTTATGGATATATTGGTAACATGGGTAAGAAAAGCAAGTACAGAGAATTCCTTCCAAGGCTTTGCAAAACAGATGATCTGTTCAAAGGAGAACCAGGACACCAATCCATTTTTGGGGAAACAATCTGAGGCAGATTTACCATCAGACCAGTGGAAAGTCAGTAACAGATTGTGTATATTTGCAAACCAATTGGAATTACATCAATTGTGAGTTTAAAATAACCTTGAAACCCTCCATACACAAGCTTCTAATTCTGAAATGAAAATGCATTTTCCCCATTACTTCAGTTTACTTTAATGAACAAACAAGCCTGTCCTCTTTCTCTGCCATGGGATAAAAATATTTCTCTAGCAGACAAGTATTTGGAAGGTAAATACATTGCAGAATACAAAATACTACGTTTCCATAGTGAGAAAGCTTACTTAAGGACACCGAATAGACTGAATTTTAATTTTTATGTATAGTATGGACCTTTAGAACACTTTTAAAAATAGCAGTTTATTTGTAATCTTGTTTCTATTTATTTTTACAGCAGCAAAATAACACAATGAATACCTGTATTTCTGCTTCAGAACTTCCAGTTCTAATGTTGTATCAGTGCTCTGTGCATCTGTGGTAGAGTCCTCACACCCAAAGCAATACTGGAACACGCTCTAAACAAAACATGGAACCAAGTAGAAATCAGGTAATATAGTCTGATAATAGATTAAAAATCCCAAATAAGTGAATGGTAACAGTCTCTAGACAGTGTTAAAGTTGAAAAGAGTTTCAGTTATGAAGTTATTTTTTGTATATTAAACATCCGTTTAACAAAATTTGGTTAATCAGAAAATTTGTCTACCAACAACAGCTGAAATCAAAAGTGAACAAATAAAAGAAGAAATGCTGAAAGGGAGTAACTCTATTTTCTGTCTGGATAACTTCTGTAGCTTGTCTTGCTTAATAATGTCACAAATCACTGAGAATTCAAACACTAATTATATTTGAATAAGTTAGGCTGCACTAAAACTGATTTATCATTTTCACTGACAATAGTCAAGACCTAATTCTGATTCCACTGATGTCAGTTAATGATTAAGTCTTATTAAATCTTGCCAGGATTGAGTTCCTAGCAATCTGTGTACAAAGTAAGTCAATCTTATCACATTTTTGTAAGTATTCTTTAATCTAAAATTCACCATCTTACCATAAATCCACAGTATCTTGGTCTGTTTGGATATACAGTAATTGATTCTTGGTCCACCCGACTCAAGAACCAAAATGGTAGCTTCTTCTCTAAGTTGGTGTGAAGATTGACCTAAACATATTTTTGCATTTAAAATAAGATATATTCTCTTAAGATAAAGACATATTACCATGTGAAAATAACCATCATGTCATTATATTCAAATGACTATCATTAGATGTCAAGTCTCAGAGTATCTATGCTGCAATGGTATAATATTTGAACAGTCCAACTCAGACACTAAAATCATCTAGGCATAGCAGTATTGATTATCTTAATACAATTAATTGTTCCATATAGATGCGCACTCTTATAACTGAACTGGTTCCAAAACTGAGTTGACTTCTGTGTAATAGCTCTAATACCTCCTTAATAAACTGTGGGCTACAGTATAAAATTATAGGGCAGAAACAGTCAAAAGACAAAAAGCCTATCATAGCCACAGGCTTTAAGACCAAATCATAACAGGAAAGTAATCTTTCTCTCTTTAATTGTGCTATATCCTTTTGCTAGATTAGGACAGAGTCAGTATAGATTAAGATGCCAGCGGAATGTCTGTGAGAAAAGTTTTCCCCTGGGTAGAAACAAGTATGTTACACATGAGTGCCTGTTCAGGAGATGCTACCAAATTGCTACAGAAATATGGATCATATGTATCTAGAAGAACAGGATGCACAGTATAAGCCTATTGCAGACAACCATAACTCTGCCAAACATACAGAACATGCTTAAAATGATTTCATAGTGCTATCTGAAATTGCAAGACGACGTCCTTCCTGAGCACTCTGATGGAAAAGAAATATAAATCAATTAATTAACTAAGTGGTGTTCTAACAATGATATCTACTTCCTACAGTTAGTGCTTCTGTGGTATGCTAATTACCTGCATTGCAATCCTTTTGAGTGCAGCATATTTCTGTACTTCAGCTATGTCCCCAACAGCCAAACCAATCTAAAAATGCCAAGAAATATTTAATTATCTATTTTTATCATAGTCTGTGATTTCAGTTGTATTTCTTATTCATATTTAAATCCAAAATGACTCTAAAGTTAAATTTACTTTGTTTCACCTGAATTTGGAAACATACACCTTTTGTGCATATTTAAGAAATCCATAGCAAGAAATGTAGTAAGCTTTTTAATGCCCACTATCCATCTTCTAGTAAGGTGCTAAAGAGCTACTTCAAAGATTTGTCTAGAATAACATCTCTTCTTTTTGATTCTTCATTATTGCTATTATGTAAAAAACTTGTTGACCTCTTGATTGGATAGGATCATGGCAGCAATAAATAACTTAAAAAATTGAATTGTTTGATTTTTATTGCTCGGCTCTTATAAAAACTTGATTTCCTAAAAAAACCCCAAAAGAACACCAAAACAAAAAAACTGATATTGAATGAAACATGGCTGAAGATGTATTACGTATTTTCCCCCTTTCTCACCATTACCAGGTTTTCTGATTCTTTTTGTTCAGGTCAGGCTTATTAGTTTTAGTACTACTGTTGACTACTGTTTTGTGTGCAGTGAAGATCTGGAGTTTGACTTTTTAATAAAAAATCTATTGTTAGCTCTATGTTATAATTCAGCAGGGGGTTGAGCAAAAATCATTGTTTCCTAATTTTCTTTATTAAGACCTCACAATAACACATTGCTGCTCCAATCCAAATTCCATCATGGTTATTACCTAAAGGTACACAACATAACCCTGCACTGGTTAACTGTGGGAAAATAGAACAGTAAACTGGAGGGAAAAAGAGTCCAGGGAAAGGCAACTTTTTAACATATTACTGAAAATATCAATTTGTTACATAGTAAATGAATGTCACAGATCAGCACTAAATTAATTCTATATGCTAAAACTGTGTATAAACCTGCGCTTAACCACTTCCACATATTAATAAACAGTTTACTTACCAGCAAGTTCATAAGAAGGATTGGAATAAGCAAGGTAAATATAATGAGAACTGTGTAACTCAGGAAAGGATATGGCAATTCACTGCTTAGTAATGGATCAAGGAATGCATCATGGTAATTAATGTCTCCCAGCATCATTGCAAATGTCTTCATTACAGAAAGCAGAGGTGTGCTATACGTTTGCTGCAAAAAGAAATACCAATATCAAGAAAAAACATGAACTGATGAAATCTGTAAATAACCTCTTGAGATTCTTCAGTAAAAATTAATATTTATAATGATAAAAAATTAATTATGCCATTTAACTAACCTGTGAACCCAAAAGGACAAAGAAACTCAGTCCAAAGGCCAATATCAGGAAAAAGAAAACGACAGCAATCCGTATCAATGTCCTCAAAATTTCCCAGAACATCACAACATAGATGCCATAGTTTTCAAATCTAGATGATAAGGAAACAGAAAAGATACAGAATCACAGAATTGTTTATGTTGGAAAAGACTTTCAAGATCATTTAGTCCAACCATTAATCTGGCACTCCAGATAGTTTAGTCCATCACTAAACTATTAAATACTGAAGTTAGAGTCCCTTACAGTTATTTATGTAAGGCAATAAGAAGTGTCATTTTTCATGTGTGAAAAGAGACATTTTGCCTCTTTGAGACATTCTGAGATGGTACAAACATTTTGTGCTTTCACGTCTGAAATGCAAGTCGTCTTATTTACAGCAAGCCTAAACCACATAATCTTATATTTTAATGCATCAGAGCAGTAGTTCTTCAAGATACTGTTTTTCACGGGTAACATGTACACTCTCTACAGCCACAGACAGTACAATATTGTACAACTGTTGCACTTGGAATACTAACATTAGTAAATTATCCAATTTTTTGCTGCTTTTTGAAGCAAATTAGCAACCAGAACAAAGGACTAGCACCATGACATATCTCCCAGGCACATGCCTGATTTAAAAGGATTTTTCTTATGGCACTACTAAGTATGGAAACCAAGCAAACAAAAAGAAATACATAGCTCAGGAAGAGAGGGGGAGCAACATGATTTTAAGACATCTGCATTTCCAGCAACGGTCTGTTATCTGGCAAGCCTCTCCCACTCTTGGCTTACACAAAAACTGTATCTCAGAACACGAATTGTCATAAAGCAGATTGAGCTACTTTTCCCTGCAAAGCTGAACTTGGGGATTTATGTCCTCTGCTAGATTCAGGGACCAGATGACTGGTTTTTGCTACATCAGTAGCCACTAAGAAAATCCCCCCACAGGATTTTCCCCCTGAAATATTATGTGCAAGGCTGAAAAGATCAAGCTGGAAGTAAAGCAAACCTAATATTCTATTTAGCAGGCACATATTAGGCAAAAATACATTGAAGTCAATGGAGCTACAGGTTGCTTTGAGAAGAGATGGCCTGAAAGAGTTAGAAAATTATGTGTACTACTGCTATACAAATGAAGAATATGCAGGCCAGGGAAGCATTTCATCTAGCAGAAGAAGGGATGTTGGGCAGTCATGAATTTACTTTTTACTGTTTAGGTTCAACCCCCATTTTGCCCACAGCACACAGCAGGGAGGACATATTTATTAGTCATCTAAGGTCAGACGTGTAGGACAAGGTTTGCCAGCAGAGGCAGTACCATAAAGATTCTCACTCTGACATTAACTCTGTTTACGAGACTTGTCCTTAAACATCCCAACTACAGTAAAATGATCCTGACATTAATCAGGAAATGACATGTTTGTCTGTCAGACCTCAAGGGGTGATTAGCACATACATACTCTAAGAATCAAGAGAGCATTAAGCACTGTTGTCACATACTGTCATCCTTATTTTCTGACCAGCTTCAAATGAGCACTTTTTTGCTGATCAGCCACACCTCATCTTTGTGCAAGGCAGTTATGCTCAGGAATAAAGATGTTTAATTTGTAGTCTTAAGCACCACACATACACTATTTCTCCTCTCCAGCCAGCACTCCTGTGTTCTATAACCCTTGGACACTATTATACCAGTGACAGCACTAAGATCATTAATGGCAATAAATAGACCTTATGTCAACTAAACAAATAATTTCTTCCTTTATTAATTCTTTTAATGGACAATCTGGTGTAGAAAATTAGGGTGTGCCATTTAATCTGTAAAATTATAAAAGAATTTACCTTCTCCCAGGTATTATAAAAACAGACTTCCTTTTGCTTCTTGTAATTTATTTTTTTTTAAGTGAAAGTCCTTACAGGATAGTAAAACATGTTTTTTTAAAGGCATGTGGTGGCTTTTTTTAACATTAAAATAATTCTTGTTGTTTCTTCAGTTGCCAAAATAGATGTCGTTATTCTCTGTATGTAAAGCACTGAAAGCTACTTTACAGTTTAATAGGTTAAAATATTCCTATGGTCCTAACCTGGCAACCTGTATAGGTTAAAAAAACACCCCATAAAATATATGGCTATCAGACTCCATCAGTCATAGTTTAGGGTACGTAAAATATCTGAAAATATTTAAAGTATTTTATTGTAAAGTGTGTTAATAACTTTTACCGTTGAAGGTAAAGCAAGAAGTTCATCCAAGACAAATATACAGCAATTGCTCCACATTCCCACTGCAAATGAGCTGGTGTATTAATAAATAAAGAAGATACAAAAATTATGCTTGTCGTATAAATTGTCCAGTCCAGTAGATTGGAGTAATCCAACAAATATTTCAATTTCTAGGATTTAAGAGAGACAGATACATATTTACAAGTCATGCATCATTAAACAAACTGAACTCAATACACTATTCAAATCCTCTTCTCCTTTTTAATCTTTTATAAATTGGTATTTCCCTTTTTAGAAGGGAAAAATAAGGTTTATTTCAATATCACACAAACTGCTATGCAAACACACTGTCTGATTAATGTTATTTCTCTATGTATTTACCTGCTGAATCAGCTGAAATATTTCTTTGCAGATTCCCAGTAAACTCATGATTAAAACTAGACACATACACACCCTTGTGAAGTATGAGTTCTGAAACAAAAATCAGAGCACAAAACATATTAGAAATTATTAAATTAATGCTTCTTTCAGCTCTACCTACTACATAAACATTACATTTGTTAGCTTACTTCATATAAACTTATTACGATCTAAAGTGTGTTTGACTAGTATTTATTGTGAAATCCATGTCATGTATATTGTATTTAAATAATTCAAACCAAGTAAGAAAGTTTGAGCATTTCCATGATAAATAGTTTCTGTACACTCCATTCCCACTGCCAGGTCATTAGGACATTGTCTCCTTCAGTGCATGACATTTCACATACACTGCTGTTGCTCTAGTCTCTCAGGCAGCACGTTCACGGATCCTGTTCAGTGCACCACTTCTCTACCAGCTGGCATCATTACTCACTGAAAGACAGGACACCCACCTCCAACTATGCTTCTTTCATCCAGACCCAGGTGTCAGAGTTATCCCTCTCTATCCTGTAGGCAGCTCCTGTCATTCTCCTGTCTTCCACCAGGAAGATGAGTTAGTGGAGACGAATTCTTCCAGTTCTGCTAGTTCTGGCTTCCAAATCTTTGAGAATCCCACATGTACTGGGATGGGTATGTGATTTTTTCATATATCAGGGTATCCTTGTGAATCTTCTATATCCCTTGAGTTTATTTCATATTTCTACTCGCATATCCTTTTTGAGTTCCTATTTCAGTTTTGTGTCTTTTGTCTCCCCAAAGAACTACAAACTCTTTTTTTTTTCTTGCCAAAATCCATGGTTCTAGTAATAAGCACCATGTTTTTGAAATGGATCATTTGAAGAGTTCACCACACAACAAGATCTTGTCTCCATTAACACCAGTATGTTACCATTTCAGGGCTAATGACGCATATCGTAGCTATAAGAAAACTCAGTACCTCGTATTCTAATGGCCTTGCTTCATAGATCACTGTTCCATTCAAAGGTCTTCCTGGTTGTATGTGAGTGACCAGAAGAGTCAGTGGGATGAGACCGAGAGAATATATGCCTAAATTCATTAGATGTGCTCGAAACCCGTAGGCCATCCTTGAAAGTGAGAACATTAAAGTTACAACACTTGATAAGTTTAGAAGAGCATGCATTCAAATGTAACAGCCAACAATGTTTTCAAGGTAACAATAAACATTTCTTAAAACATCCTTTTGTGATGAATGTGTTCACTGAGCTTTATGGGGACAGAAGTGTATTTGCCATCCTGAAATACTGTTCCTTTCTTTATATATATGTTTGCAATGAAGTGGAATCCTCCTATATATTTTTGTAATAAAGTGGGAACACCAATAGTGGTTACATTTGCTGTAAAAATCAAAGAATTATTACTAAATATTAAGCTACATTTTATATTATAGTCATCAGTATATTCTAGTAATGCTTATGAGAGGTTATATGGAAAAGACATTCACTTCAGTTAATACTACAGATATGTACATCTCAGTAAACAACTCCCAAGCACAACAGCCTTCATCCTGACATGCAATATGATATTTTATGTACATTAAAAATATACCTACCATTTCATAAGCAAGTATTCTTTACACACAGGATGACTGAGCAGCTCCATGCGATTGTGGCGTACCATGGCCTACAAAGCAAGAAAGCAGAAGGATTAAGCTTAACTCATCTAGTTAAGTAAAAGTGCTTACAAAAGTGGGAAAGCCACCTTCTTTCCTTGACTATTAGCTCAATGAAAATTAAAATGTCTGTAAGATATTGCAAAGTTCTTTTGTTTATGCACACTGGCTCAATGCTATTACTATCTTGCCTTCTTTGTCTCCTGAGGAATCCAGCTTCAGTCCTGCTGCTCTGTTAGTCTATTTAGAGCTCCAGAAAGTTGTACAGACTATTGTCAACTATACCTCTGAAATGACCAAGCTTCTCTAGTTACACTTAATGAAAAAATATATATTTATTATTAGACAGTATACCAAGTCTAACTGCCAACAGGAAGCCCAAAAAGTAATCAAATTAAGCCAGAAATTCTGTTCTGTAAACATTTTCTGACAAAGAATGAGAGAACAGATGGGCAATGTTTGTTTTAGGCACAGAAAGTATTTTACAATTAGCATGTGAAAAACCAAGTGTTGTCAGGTTTTTCAATGCCTTACATTCCAGTGCATGGCCACTACTATGACCGGAGTATGGTTTTCTTTGATGTATTATTACCTGCATGTACAGCATGTTCTATTGAAACATTCACAGTTGTTTAAATAAACTAAGAATTTTTATCTAAACCTAAAAGAAATGTTATTTTTAGCTTAGACTGTAAGAACTTTTGCCCCTATTTCATTCCAATACACTTTAAATATACAGAGTTATGAGCTTTGGAGAAGAAATATTACTATGAAAAATTCAAACTTCTTGATTTTATCTAGATTAAGAAATCATGGAATTATGTCAGAGTAAAATACGGAACTTACATTTAGAGTGGTAAGTGGTTCATAGAAAATGTCTTCACCATCCTTTAGTTTCTTGTTAAGTGTCAAGGGACACTGAAGATATCGGAAGTTATATTCAATCTGAATAATAAACACACACCAGCATTTAAATGAAACATCATCTAAGACTGAGCTAATCTGTTTAATTTTAAAAAGGTTATCCTTTAGAGACAAAAAAGGCATATTGAGTCAAAGTAATTAGAACACTGGTGTATGCTGATTATTAGCTACTTTGCCAGTGAGGACATGCCATCAAGATACACATCTGTGACTGTAAGATGATTAAACACCCATTTTGAATTGTAAAATAAAAAGTACACATTTCCCCTTAAAATACTCGTTTAAAAAGATCATTCCCGTAACTGCAATTTGTTTTACTGTTGACTTTGAAGAAAAACTTGTATTTAAAAGTTATGTGGCCCTGATAACACAATATAAAGAAAATGTAGAGTAGTAGAAAATTTGCATGTTTTCTGTTACTATGTAGACACAATTCAATGTAATCACGGATAAGGCTGTTGCCAATATGGTTTCAAAAGTAACATAACTATAGAGTCAAAGCAATCTACTACTTAAGATTTTGGTCAAAAATTTACAAAAAAAGAAACGTGACTCTGAATTATTGATGACAATTGTACTACTTATGACAGACATGCTTTTGATATGCATAAATAGCTCTTATGTCTTCTATCACTGTTATTCTGAAATATCCACAACCTCTGATACTCAGCTTGATTGTAAGAATTAACACAGCAAAGATAAAGTCTATAGATTGCTCAAGTTTAATGTTGTACTTGTTAAAATGCAAAAGCATGAAGATTACAGAAATTGAACTTCAAAGCCATTTACAGCCCAAAGGATAAAATTAGATCAGTCACATGTGTTTTCTGTTAAGATCTGATATTAATCTACAAGTGTGTCTCTTCATAGGAACTTGATACAACTATGGAAGTATACATACTGTGTACTTCCCAAACTTTCAAGTAAAAAATGTATTCATTTCAGTGTCACAGAGGCAATAAAGAGAATTACATCAGTGGCTTGCTGAGAATCACAAGAAGACTCATAGATGAAGATTGCTAGTATCCAATGAAGTGTTTTTTGAAAGTTATCCTAATGCTAATGGATTTTTTGCCAAATATATATTAAAAGTACAGATTCAAATACGGTTAGTGGTGAATAACTACCGAATTACTCATAAATCCAGTTAAAATATTGACTGATTTCAATTTACCAAGTACAGAACTAATTGCAACAATAGAAAATATTTAAGAGGAATTTTAATTTAGTTCAGTATTAGTAGCTAAAAGCCAAGCTGATGATTTTCTAACTTCATTATTATCCAGATAATACACAACTGCTAACATTCAGCCAAGCATACTGTGGCATATTCCAACCTAATACCATAAAACGCACTGTCTTCATAAATTTTTTCATCCACTTACATAGAAGTCTCGACTTGTCTTTTCCTCTGAAGACTCAATTATGCAGTTGTCCAAAACCAGCTTTGCAGATGAACAAAGAAGTGAATTAAGGTGATACAGATAACGTTCATAAGAAAGAATACATTTCTACCTGAAGAAAATGACCTTCAAATACAGTGACCAAATACACAGAAGTGATGATTCAGTCAGATTTTATGGTGTATGTTTTGCAGACATTAAAGTCCATGTAGAAGTTAAATAATGAAACTATGGAGTTTACAAGACTACGTGCTACTTTACAAGTATCAAATGTGAAGTGTTTATTAATATATACATACCTAGTCAATTGCTATTTTAATAAAAAGCATTTCTGTAGTATCATTTAACAGTTAGCTCAGAAGGTAAAAATATCTCAAATCATTTTGAACCCAGTTATCTTCTGAATTTCATCAATTCCATACTACTTTCACATTCTTATGACTCCACTGACCTCAGGAAGCTCAGAACTTTCCTAATATTAAAGAAATTAAACTGGACAAACTGAAATTATCACTAAAATATGGTTAAATCAATTTGCGAATTTATATTGTTTCTATTTTACAGTTGTACATATGAGTGAGGACAGCATTAAAAAAACAATGGCAAATGATGCAATGTAACTAAGGGGGTTTAGTGTACTAATTAATACGTGTAGAAAACTTACTTTAAATGAATCAGGAAGATACTCAACCATTTCTAGCAAAGGACACTTATTGGCACTAGAATAGTGAGAGAATGTCACAACAGCTTCTTCCCATCTGCAAAAATGAGTTAAGATAACAGAAAATGAATTAGTTGCTTCTCTTTCAATTTATCTACTTTTAGAGTATTTGACTTTTATTTATGATATTATCTTGCAAATCACAATATGTAACAGGTTTGTGTACCATTAATTGGAAAATCAGCCGTTTGGGGAGTAATTGTGTAATGTTCTGGATGCTTCTCGAAGAATGATTAATGCTTAATTCTGTTATTAGTTAAACAGAGATGTTTCAACTATGCTAAGACCTTCTAAAAAATATGAAACTTGAACTAAAGCTGGAATATTGGATTATAAGATTAGGTGAGTAATAACAAATAAAGTAAAATACTGGCAGTGTTCCTGCAACTCTTAACAAGAGATGTGATCATTAGGCAATGGTGCAACACTTTTATTCCTGAAGCGGGGCTATTTTTAAAAGTATTTGCAACATTTAGAAGAACAATTTTGGTATTACTTGTACTCACATTTTGACTAAAATTCTACATATTGAAGCATTTTGTGAAACGCCAAATTTATGTATGTAAGAGGGAAGACATGGGAAAGATTATTTATTTCTCACAATTTCTACATGTTGGTTTGGTTTGTTGGGGTTTTTTTTTTGTTTGTTTGGTTGGTTTTTAACAGATTCTGAATACTCAGTCTAATATGGAAAACAACATGTCACATATCTCATGTCCATTACCATTATGCAAGTCTTTATTTGCTCTCACTAGAACACAACACAGCCTCTGGAGTTTTAAAATATGTACTCAGTCTTACTTATTAAACTAAAGGTTTTCAGAACTTAATCTCAGTTAAAAAACAAAACACAACAGAAATTCAAAAAGCATTTTCTGGGTACCTTACCTTTTGTGCAAAATTACAGCAGACACTACATCTTTTCTCCTATTGTGTATTGCTTCATGGAAAAAAGAAGCTACTGCTTTGTTGAACAGAATTTTTGCACCATAGTCAAGAAGTAATCTTACTGCTTTTGCGTGTCCTTCTCTCGCAGCCAGGTGCAAAGCTGTGTTCTGCACAGGGAAGTAGTACAGCAATACATCCATAAAAATCACTTTAGAAAAATAAAGTATGTATTTCAGTCCTTTCCCACACTGAAAAGCCACATACTATTCTCAGTTGCAAGTTCTGAATACTTTTACTAGCAATATTAAAAAGTAGAATATTGTTACAGAGATTCTGACAGATTATAGACAAGTTCTTTACACTACATCTACATCTACAGCAGTGATGAATCTTAAGAGGAAACTCAGCTGTGGGTAAGAAAAGCCAATTCATTAATATATTTTAGTTTTGTAACTTACAAACTGCAAGTCACAAATAGGTAAATATGATGGCAGATACAGAACACCTGCATTTGAAAGTCAGGAAGAGAAGCATCCAAATAAATCCAGATGTGCTCATACAATAAAATTTGCAGGAAAATCTGCAGACAGTTTTAGAAGGGGAACATTTTTTTTCTTTGATATTTTTATAACAGTAAGGCAGTAAGTGTTTTAGGAGTCAAGTCCCACTGAAGCTGACTTTTGAAAGCCTTACCAACTCAGCCAGATTTTTCTGAAGGAAATTAAGAACTAAACATTGGCTTCTCATTAACTTCTAGGCAAGATACATTCCTAATCTAATAATTCTAAAGGTTTTCAACACCAGTTCTCAGAGAAATTAACAGCACTGTCTGTGTTGGGAACTGAATAGTTGCTTAAAATGCTCCCCCAATGTTTTCTGATATGGAACTGTTAGGCAGGTCCATAGAAGAGATCTCCAATCCAACAAATGGATTCTGTCTTGACCCAAAGACACTGCATTTGTCCAAACTTCCAAGATAAGAGCTGTATCTGTTGGACATTCCTGTGCAGAACAGATGGATTTCAAACACTCTGTTCAAATGAGCTAAAGCTGATACTGGATTTTTTTAAAAATCTGTATAAGTTCTTCAAATTTATATTACCAACATTTGTACTAGATTGCTAAAACACTCTTGCATTGTAAAGGGTGCAAGAGGGACATGTCTAACATACTCAGTATTTTATGTTTTCCATTAGGCTATCTGCATTTTTTTGACTCACATTTATAACAACTGGATAACAATTTCAGCAATTATATATTAATCTAAGCAATAAACTTTAACAGTGGTGAAACAGATAGGCTTTAAATATGCTACAGGAAATGAAATATTATACATGCAATGCACAGTGGAAAACTACTAACAGCATACCACCGATGTTTGCTCTGGAAGTAATAGCAGAGAAGAAACAAATAATGCCATGTGAACACATACCCCTTCTTCATCCACTCTGTCAGTACACTTCACATTAGTATCCAAAATGATCTGCATTGTGCGAGTGTATCCTCCAAAGGCAGCATGATGCAGGGCTGTCCAGCCTTTATAATCACTTATATGTGGCAGTATAAAATTAAAAATTATAAATGGAAAACTTTTTATCTATTTAAAATAAATGACACACATATACATGTGTACACATAGATATGCATACATAAGTACATATATATATACTCATATATAAACATATATATATAT